AAGTATAAATTGAATAAATATGATATACAGTCAACAGGGTGAGGATGAAAAATTATGATGATTAACAGTTAAGTTTAACTACAATAGACCGATACATAACATATGATTGCAAAATACAATAGCCTATTATACAAGACTTAATTATAGTATAGGGCCTAAGAAAATAATAATTTATTGAACAGTTTTAAAAGTGTTATAAGGTTTAGGCAAATATCAACACCATTTCTTGCATTTCTATTGGCGTCTCATAATAATACATCATCAATAAGACTAATAATTATGATAGGCAGGTGGTTTTCTCAACTAGTTATCATGCAAACAAGTTACAGCTAATACCGGTATTAACACAATTTCTTGCATTTCTATTGGTGTCTCATAATAATATATTATCAATAAGACTACTAATTATGGTAGGCAGGTTGTTTTCTCAACTGGTTACCATGCAAACAAGTTACACAATACCGTGCCTCATTTATGCATCTATTTAATTTTTGTACATTATAATTATACCCTTGAAGTTATTAACCTCATAACTCTATGGCAGAATTAATCGTTTGTATATGATGAGGCTCTAATAGTTCTAAATCAAACGCATAATCAGTTGCGTTTAAAATCCATCATAACTGTAGACCGTCTTCGTGTATAACACGATACCCATTTGAAAGAAATCATAATCCGCCACCTTTTATTTGTCAGTTCGCATCAATGCACTGTATATATGAAGTCTGGGTGTTTCCACTGGTACCTTAATGGCGGATCTAATTTTGTTAGCTATCTACTGCATTCTCAGTGGGTGTAGGAGCAGAGACACCCTGGTGACTTTGGATCAGGGTGTCTTAAGGTCTGATTTTCATTAGAAAGGTAATCCATCGGTAGGCCCTACCTACCTGCAACGTTAATATCAAAATCCAGCTGTCACACAATCATTTAACTAAATCATAATAAAAGATATTAAAACTTGGCGCCAAGAAGTCACACAGAAGCCCACTATATCAGAAGAATTACGAAAATGGGAGGACTATTCTAAGTAATTAAAGGATAAATTTTAAAAAGGTACTGTACTCCATGCGTGAATGCCTTTTGTTGGTGCAACAAGTAGTATAACGCTTATACTATACTTTTAAATAAACTCCCACTTCTAGTAGTTTGTCCTCTCTGAACAATTGATAGACATATTGTCATTGTCTAAAACCTGAATTAATCACTGTAATAGTTTGTCACACTTTAAAGAGCTTATCTAAGCAGAAATTCGAGGATAATACCCTTCCATTACTATAATATTGCCTTTTTATTTCTTTTATGCGAATATCATCGCTCTTAGCGAGATTGTAATGTACTTGGTACACACAATAGACAATATTAGGCTTCCGGTTTAAAGAATTTAAAATCTAGTCGAAGGTTCTTTTTCTTGAACTTGGGCCTACTGCTACAGTACCACTACTATAGCATAATACTGCTGCTACTACTACTGCTACGTACTGCAGCTACATGTCTCTACTAGTACTTCTATTAGTTGCTTGTGGTAATATCACAAAACAAAATGGACTATAAACTTGCAAATATTTTATAATAAATCGTCATGGATAGATCCTTGTACACATATGATTATAAATAATGATTTATGAACTCGACAACAAACTATGTTATGAATGTCTTTGTTTGATGATAAAGAGATGTTGTTGATGATGATTGTTTGATGATGATGTCGATGATGTTGATGATGATGATGATGACGATGTTGATTTTGAAATGTAATTACATGATCTACCAGCACCGTATTATCGGTAACGTACTAGGCCTATCAACATTATGTAAAAGAATAGGCCTAATTCAAAGTAAACATTGTAGATATGACCAATAAAAATCTTTTTGCGGTCTATAGATTCTAGAATAACGAGAAACACCGGCCCTGCAATTATTTCACGTCGGCTCAGATTTGACGTCATCGAAGCGAGAGAAATTGTCCTTATAACAACGAAACATCGTCAGTCATACGGCGTCCACGGCTTCGTATTCAAGCCGAGAGTCAGATCGTCCAGTTTGCACCTGGGCCTTGTAAATTAACTATATTAATCACATCAAATTATGAACTTTTAATTCTGCCAATTAGCTTTGATCATAGCTGTTGAATGGGTCGACAGGAGCGTATATCCATTGGCAACGCCATCGTGAGTTAAAGCGTACACAGACGTAGGCTAAACTTGACCTGTAATGAACGCCAATGGCACATATTAAATTAATAAATGACTATGGTTACAATCCGCTGTTTAAATTGTATTGCACTTTTCACCGACAAACTAGTACAAAATTATGTTTCGAAGAGATATTTCAGCCTACACTTTAGTATAGAATCATAATTTTTCAATCTAATTTACGTGACATTGGATTTTTAACTAAATTGATTTTATAAATTACCTCAAAGTACAAGGTACTATTATACTATTTAAACCAAATGTTAACAGGCTTATCATAATAAATATACAGAATATTATGTATCACCATTTTAAAGAAGTTTTTTTTTTCTCATTGTAGCATAGTGCACTTCCTCCGGCACCACCAATACAAAAAGGTAAATATGAGATTTCTACGCATACCACTAACATACAATAGGCATGTAAGTGTATTATTCATATTATTTATACTATTCACATAATTCATATTATCATTATCATTGATTACCATCAGAGCTTTTAGAGTTAGATCTATAGAAACTATGGTGCAGTTGTATTTCATTTATTCAACATCCGGTTAAAAGCCATTCCAGATAAAAACAAAAAAAATGTTCATTACCTGAGGAGTGCTAAAAGTGCAAGCACTATCAAGTGGCTCTCCTATACAAAACATCTTTACAAAAAATACATATAAAAAACAATATAGAAGATTCAAACACACTTTTTTTAAAAAATAAGAACACATTTTATAAGAACACCAAGGCTAAATTTCTTTGAAATGAGAGCAAAATAAGGACAAACTGAGGATGAGGTAAACTATCAAATGAGGCTTAAAAAATCTAAAACCAACAAATGTTATAACTAAATTAATTTGAAATTCAAAATTCTGAATTACAGAGTTCCTTGACCATATACCAGTACGTAATGAATCAGAAAAGGATGGTATGGGTGCCATATTGGAAGACAATGCCATAATAAACGCAGGTAAGTCCGTCTTAAATCGTTTTACTTTCCACCCACTTTGCTGTTGGTTTTGACATCAGTTCACGTCCGATAATGTTCCGATTGCAAGCACATAATGTATGCATACTTAGATAGCGCACATTCAATTAGTTCCGAAAGGGCTTAACATGTACTTGGTCCAGATAATTCAGAATTAACTCGGTATGTCCTCTAATGAACCCTATTTGACCCGATTGCTGTGCTCTTCTTTAAAGATACAGCCCTTAAGAAAAAAACAAACTCAATAAATTATTAACGCTGTTTTACTATTATTTAAATATATAGATAAATTTCGGCAATTATTCTTTAGGCCTCCTATAATAAAACTGTCAAATGCAGCGGTGCCACAATAGCACCGTACTCTGCCCCGACTCGGCCGTCTTGATTTGTGATAAATGTTCTGATTCTCAGCACTCTTTTTCATTTTACACCAGTGCCCCTTCATGGGGATCTAGGCTTCTTTGGTAAAAATATGCTATAAAATGTAATCAATGTATAATAAAATATTATCATCCAATAATGTTATTTTGATGTCCTAATTTCCAGCAATAGCACAAGGTCTAGAGGAACCGTTCTTAGTTGAGGGAGATATTTATGTACCGCCAATTAAAGGAAGGGTAAGTTGAACATTAAATAAATACGTTGAAAATTAACCAAGTCACGCGCTTACAGCTGTTGCTCAGCAGTATAGTGGAGTGAAATTATTGGTGGTTAAGATGATTGCCTTCCAATCAAATGAGGCTGGGTTCAATTCCTGTGACAGCAAGATTTGTTTTTCTCACGACTAAAAACAACTTCATACCAGAGCCGTGTGGGAAGGATAGTAGATATCTACTGAACAGAATACTCAGTATAAAGAAGAAAACATAGTGATGATATTTGACATACCTGATAGTATTACACGCGAAATACGTGGGTTAACTTACACGTAGTTTAGGTCTAATATTAGATACGCGTGATACCAAAAGCATGGTTTTGCAGAACCACGATGCTGCACGAAATTCCGTGTTTGCAAGTTCGGGCGTGTAGGTTGTACAAGGTCGCAAAACTAATCCATACTGTTAAACTAGGGGTTAAGATACTCATTTGTGATGATTATTCAAAATGTATTATATAGCTTTCATCACCCATCCGTTAAGGGTCAAGATCATATACCGTATGGAAGTGGCAGTTCCAGGTGTACTATGTACTGGTATCTGATGCATTAACCACACTTCGTTTGTTTGTTTTGTTTTTTTTTGTAAATTTATGCAATGTAGCTTTAACAAGACAATGTCAAGAAAATATATATTGTGAGGAAAATTTTAATAGAAATTTCAATGTAAAGGTGGTGCTATCCTCTTTGTAATATACATAAACAAATCAATACATACCGGTATGCCAAATAGACTAATAGACATATAGGCCTATAGCTTATTTTTAAGAAGTATATCTTTTTGGAGATCCTGACTTGTCGAATTGCGTAAGATGAGGTCGAATCATTTATTGATCTGTTATTTGCAGTGCATCGAAATAGCGTTGTTCCACGCATGTTAACGAGTAGTAAAAAATCAGTTGCTGCTTGTATTCCCAACGAAGCCCCCAGTGACCCAGTTGGTAATGCATCTGACAGTAGAAAGTCCTTCAAGTCTTTAACGTTACATATATATATATATATATATATATATATATATATAGGCCTATATATATAATTATAGCATTACTATAAATGAACCATTATTTATATATATTATATAGATATAAAGGCAACTGGACTATTTATAAAACTGTCAAATATTCTCAGATGCCGTGTGGGAATGTAAATTGGATCCAGATATTCCGGATTACCTCCCATGTGATCGGTTCATTATAGAACACAATGTATTATCCTTTGAGCCTCCTTAAAATGAAAGTACAAGTGTCTGTATTTCAGTGCTTTTCATCTTCAAAACAACAATTTGCCTTTGGCTCGGTTATTATGTTACATTTAAACAATAGACCTATATTGCGATCCTTTTATAGAATCAGTAGGTACAGTACTTGAAAGCTCAAATGGCAGTTTCCTCGGCAATGTTTGTTCAAGATTCTGTAACTGTTATTAAAATTTTACGAGGGTTTATTTTATATTGAAGTTCAAGATACTGTATATAGGTCCAAATAGGCCTTAACTATCGTATCTACAGGGAAAATTAATTGACTTGTTACAACCTTTTTCTGTAGGCGAATGATATCCACAGTGCTGTGCCCCAGTTTAGCTAAGAGGTGAAGAAAAATATAGGCACAGTCTGCAACACTTCAATAAGATGTATCTGGGACAATGATTATAAGTACAGCTATTAAACTATAGTGTCTTTTCGTAGACTTTGTGGAATCAACATTCAATATAGCAACTATTCTATGCTGCTTCCCATTTAAAATTACGACAGTCAACTTTCCGTATCCGCAAAAAAAATTATTAAACATTGCAACACTGCGCTATAGAAGATTTCGATACTTTCGCACATGTTCTTGTTTTGGGCTCTAGCGAAAACTCGAAAAAATTTGTTTCTAGTAAGGGCTTAAATTATTTCTCGCTAAGTCGTGTAATTGATAACTTTCGAGGTAAAATTGGTTTATAAAATGACGTCCTAATACTTAATTCCAGAATACAAGGAGCTGAATCTCAGATACCAACCGTGTTCCACCAACAGTCCGTTGGCTATGGAACACAAAAAAAGGCAAATTTCAAACACAATTCGTTTTGAGAATCGACTGTGTTTTGAAAGTTGCCCTTTTGCCAAAATTGAAGTCAATTTTAAATTTATTTTCAAGCTAATTTTTATTGAAGCCATGATGTCAAAACAAGTTTTTACCAGGAATTGTCTCTCCTTTTGCTAAAACATCCCGTTTTCATTATTCATTTTTCTGTGGACCAACATTACATAAGCCACGTTCTTGTTTTAGAAGGATAGAGTATAAAGGCGTAAACTTAAGCACGGAATGTATTTAAACAAACTTTTCGAATAAAAATGGTTGAAGGTCGACATACAACGATATTCTATTTTGTTAAGGTACCGGTCTACTGTTATAAGCCTATTTGTTCACTTCCAGGCTATAATTATTCCGAAAGTCTTGTTTTTTTTTGGAAAAAATGTTCATGCATTTATTCCAATTTTTAACTGTAGATCCCACTGTCATTTTCACAAGACTTTAGCAAACTTGCTGTAGTCCAATGGTGTGTCTGCAGAATCGCATGAATAATATAATTGCTGCGAAGCAGCCAATTCATATTCTTGACAGGAATTTGACTTTCGAAAGGTCATTGTTTGTCAAAAAACGACTAAGACCTAAGACGACTCAAAAGCGGAGTTTCCTTCTTTCGTTCTGCCGGGTAAAATCAATTACTTTAGGCGACTTTTGTAGACTAACCTACTCGTACCAACGTCCGCATGTCGCGCTAGCCTTATCCTACTCTAGGCCTAGACTAGCTAGGATGGTATAGGCCTAGCCCTAAAGGGACGAAGGTCCCAATGAAAAACAACGTCGCTCTTTGATAGCTAACATTGTCTATTTAACATCACAATAATTCATTATTAGACCTATAGTTGTTTTTTGAATTGTACTCCACAAATCTCAGCCGATACCTCGCACAACTGGCTAACGTCTCTATCTATTGTCGTGACGTCATGGCTGGCTGGCTCACACTTGTGATATGTCTCGCACTTGTGATCAAATAACACGCTGGGACGCACTTTGGCAACACTCTTTGGCAGTCAACTCGCCCCTAGAAAACCCGCCCTTGGAAACTTGCCCCATAAAAAAATGTACACTTCCTAGACCATGCAGTCTTCAAAATAAAAATTGTAACCTTTGGTAATCAACTACATTTTCCACATACATAGAAATTGTTGAAACTTTATTTAAAAAAATCTAAACCATAATTCACCACACTATAGACACTTTTTGACAAAAATGAAAATTACGACTTTGTTACCCAATGAGAAGTGTTCTAATATAGACAATGGGTCGTGTCTCATATTATTTGTTATAGTTTTATTATTCATTATTTTCACTTGACTCGCATAAATAATTTTGTTCGAAGAAGATTTATATGCAGTTGTACTTCGCAGCACTTCATTTGCAATTTGCAATTTCTAGTATAATAATTGGCAGACGGTTTCATTTCAACCATTTTTATGTGGTAGACAAGCGCAGCTATACATAAGCACACACATGTATGATTTCTAGATAGTGATCGCATCACGTTCGGACATAATAAAGGAATGCGACAGAAACCTTTGAATTCTCTATACTTAATCCTGTTTTATATGACATTTTTATCAATCGTGACAATATACATATCTTAACATAATACACGTATCTGAAATATTTGATTTGTAATGATAAGCAACACTATTGAATTCAAACTGCCTATTGATTTATTCTTGCTTGCTTTGCTACGATACGGAGGATGATATTAATTTTCTCACTAGAAATCTGGCAAAGCCTACAATAATCTACGCATGCCTAAATCATATTTATGACAAATAGCATCATACAAATACTGTAGTATAATTCTTGTTAGTCAAGGCTATATTAACCCACTAAAGAAATACCACCTGAGGACCAGTTTATCAATCAGAAGGTGAGCCCCTTGGATAAAAAAAAAAGAATCAAGTTTAAAAGAGGGCGCCATTTAGATTGCGATCGCAGCTGCGACATTACTGTTAATCATAATCTGAATACGGAGAATTAATTGTATATTCATCTGTTTGTTCATAGTTTTATCAAGGCCGGTTGTATTCACAACAGATACTGTAAATCCCAACTCTTTAGAATCTTTAATCTGAAGTTAAAAGAGTATGCTGAAGTACAATAGCAGAGTGACCCGTTTAACCGTAGCCTACTTTGTATCTCTTAATGCACTCTTTACTTTAGGATCTACCTTGCCATATGTAGGCCCTACAAAATTTGTATTAAGTGTCGTAAGAAAGAGCATAAAATATACGAATAGGCCTATGTCTCCAGCTACCAAAACAAAGGTTATCGCTGATTAAAGGTACCTTAAAGGAAGGAAAGATTATGTAAACGTTGTCTGTTTTATTAATTTGATTTAAGCAATACATGTACAAATTATTTTGTCCATGATTTATTTAAATTAGATTTAATATTAGGCATTCCCGTGTAACGATATTTTTTGTTTGTATTAATTAAATATATTAAAAAAACACACATTGTGTATGCAACGTCAATTATTGTGAAATATTTTAAATAAAGATAATCATTACCTAAAGGCTTATAATGATCATGGAAAAGCCTATATAAAGCCTACCAGCCATATGCCCGATTCAGGCCGTTGGGAAAACGCATGTACACCGCAAGACCTGGAATTATGGGCAGCACCGCCTACAGTAATCAGAACGACAAAAAGTTATGAATGAAAGTTATTGAAATCTTGGCTGACCCCCAATAAACAGTTCAGTAGCCTGCAGTAGCTTAAGCCCCCTAAGGCGCTAGTATAGTGAACATATTATTACTACCAGGTTTGGATTCCCATAATATTATAACTAGAAAATGGATAGGCCTATGCATTGCCACAATGATGCTATTGAACACGATATCTGTAAGTTACGTTCTACTGTATTCAAGAGTCAAGATT